GTAGAGGACTGGTGTGCGGCTCGGGAGGGTGCGGGGGGGGGAAGTGACCCCGTGTGCAAGTTTCCTTCCCTATCACGAAGCGTAAAAGCACTGGAGCTTGTTACCGGTGTGTTCTTAAGAAGCAGCAGCCGGCTAGGAAGGCGTTTGAAGCTTCTGGGCTCGGGCTCTGTGTCCGCAGTGGTTTGGGCGATGCTTAAAAATCTCGTAGTATGTCATATTTTCTGTTATTCCTGTCCCGAATATGTACTTCTCTCAGCCTCCCCCCTCCTTCTTCAAGATCAGAAGAGCTGTTTATGTTTTACTGGTCAGTAATCGGTGCTCTAGAGCTTCTCTGAGAGTGAGTGTAAACTCTGATGTTAGTTTTTCTGCTTTACTGTTTGCAAATTTCTTTAAGAAGTGTATTTAACGTTTGTGGGCATGCATTTATACTGCATTTTTAATGCTTTATAACATTATTTTTGCAGATCTGACACCGATTTAACCTGCAAAGCGGGAACCTGAAAAGTATTAACCTGATCTAACTTCAGAAACAGTTAAGTTTCTCGATTTATGTCGGAGCCATGTAGTTACCTGCTTTCTGTCATAAACGTGTTGTACAATGTTTACTTATCTTGGCAGGGAACAGTTTTAGAGACAGGATCCAGAATGTTGAGAATTATGAGGAAATTTTCAGTGAATGCATTGAAGTCATCCAGTTTGTGCAATGAGGTAAACTTTTTCCCAAATTTTGAGACTTCCTCTGTGAGCAAAAGAAATATTTGGGTTACTCCGACTAAACATTTTAAGTTGGGCTTTTTTTGTGTTTCCTTTAAAAATTGGTATACAAACAGAATGTGTAATTTCATGTTAAAATTGGACTTCTTATAAATCTGAATGTGGAAGTTGAATTTGTAATTTTTCTGTAAACTTTTTTAACTATCTGTGATTTTGATTACCTAACAGTTATCACTGTTAAATTCATGTTATTTACACAAAGAATTAGACTTATTTAAAATATGCTGGCTACCAACAGCATGGTTTGGTGCTAGCATAGATTTTTTCCTGGAATTTCCAAACAATACTGGGATCAGACTTGGTTTAAATCTACTCCATATCTTCATGGTTCTGCTTCCAAATAGCTGCTATTAAAGCATATATAAATATCTAACAACAGTATTAGTTCCTGTAGATATTTTGTTTTAGTTTAGTTTTCTACAACTAGTAAAAATGTAGCTACAAAGTAATTATTTATAATGATAAATATTCTATATGAATTTTTTTTTTCCTTTTAAGCACGTGTATTTCAGAAAGGCAAAATTCAGAGTCATAAGTGTGACACAGCAAAACTGCAGTCTACGAAACTACAGTTCTCCACCAGGTAAAAGTTTAAATTGTTTTCTTAATTATAAGGATTACTCTAAAAATGAGTAAGAATGTTTTCTAATTTGTGTTTTATTGTATTATTTTCATCATTACTTATAGAATTTGGTGTATTAAGCACAAACAGAGCAGTTAAAAGGTTCAAGGACTGTGAAGAAGTGTTTTGTATTGCTGCTCTTTTCTGACTAGGTGTATGGTGTAAAGCCTTTAGAAAATCAGAGAAAGAAAAGGTACACACGTGTAGGAAGTCAGGTCAGTTGTGAAGTGTCCAGTTGCCTGAAGTATTAATTGGTTAATTGCAGACTCAGAATAAAAGAGTAGAAAGAATAAGATACTTCAAACCCAAAATTTAAATTAGAAGGAATTTTTCCTGGTCTTTGAATAACTGCACTGAGATTGAATGGAAATCACTTGATATAAGGTAGTGTTGGGAGTCAGGGCTGCTTTTTCTCCATCAGGATGGAGACGGAAAGAAAATACTGGTAACTGGTGGGTAACCAACTTCTTGTTAACAATAAAAAAAAATTGTTAATTGATTCAGCACTGTGTATCTTAGCAAAAGTCTGTAACCTGCAGTCATGTAGCTCAGAAGAAGACTTGTGCTTTGTTGCTAGTGTCAACACTGTGTGTATTACTGTTTCTCTGTAGTCTATGCAATGTCCTTGCTGTCTGCTCTATTTATCCCGGTTTTGCTGTGCTGAATCCCTCAGTGTGTCACATAAAGGCAGAGCTTCATTCCATACTCGAGAAGACAAGCAAGAAATCTCAGACATACTAATGTGTTGTTTTGTGGGTTATTTTAGAAACTGGAGGGGAAAAGGCAGTGTTAGTTGGTGTTTTTATTTGGGGTAGTGGGTGAATTTCCAGCTTGCTGCCTTGCTTCAGTCTTTCTCCTCATTGAGACATTAACCTTGAGACATCTTATAGATGCCTCGTTAGTGTCTCTCTGGTAAGAGGGGTGATCTGTAGGTCGTTAAGGAAGGTTGGTTTAAATATTGTTGAATTCTGTTTGGTCTATCAAAGATAAACTGAAGTACTAGGAAAGTGAGTTCCTAAGACACAATTTAAATGGCTTGAGTAACTGAATTATGGATTAGTTTCATAAAAGATTAACTTGGCAGCTTATTTTCCAACTAAATAGGGTGTGAGAGAGGAAATGTCTTTCAAGAAAATGTGCATTTAAAACTCCTCAGTCCCATGTTTTCTTAACCTAGGTCAGTTTGCATTTTCTCTCTGACAATTATGCTACCTAGCTTCAGTGTTTAAAGGAGAAATGACTTTTGAAATTTGTTGTCTAAGAGCAAGTTCAGATGCATATCAAAATGTTGTCTTGAACTGTTCTGCTATTGCTTCTGCAGAATAAGATTTTACTGTGCTGATGATACTTTTCCATGTTGGCTTTTTCTTCTTGTTTTTAAATTACAGCTGCTTTGAAGAGTTTATCTCCTTTTTTTGAGAGAGAGAGATTTATTGAAAATTAAGTAGATATCTTTAGAAATTTGAGATGGTAGAGATTATGGATTGTCATGAGTTGTGGCTCCGAATCTTTTATTTTTAAAGTATTTTTTTTAGGATTTTTCTCAAATATATTTAATTCTGTTAAAATCTATCATTTCTACTTTGGGATCAGTCTTACAGATTGTTGTTTTGTTTGTCTCCAGGAGATGTTAAGTCTCTGCGTTCTGTCATTAATCCCGATATATCCAGGTATGTCATGCTAGCTTATTTTTCAGAGGTAACTGGCAGACAGAGCAATGGATGTGATTAAAAAGTCATGGGTTGTTGCTAGTCACATCCATAGTTCATGTGCATGTTCTAAATTAAAGTTAGAACTTCCTTAGTTTTACCCATCTGACATGTCAATATAGAACGGTTATTGGTGTCGGGGAGGTCTTGGACTGTCTCTTGTTTACATCATCAGAACCAAAACTGGGCTTTTAGGCAAGCTCCAAATCCATGGTGGAGAAGGACTATCTTGGCAGCCAGACCACCGCTGTGGGCAGGGCTGCACAGTTTGTGTTCGTGGGAGCGTTCAGCTGTGTTAGATGAGGGCCTCAGTAACAAGGGCAAGGGAATTAGGGGCCGAGCTGCCAAAGAAATAGCTTGGGGCTGAAGTTCCCTTGGAAGACTACTTCTGTCCTGAGGGCAAATTCAGTGGATTTGGTGAATATGGGGGCTGAGTTCAAGCCTGTGATGCACAGAGCTGGTGAAGCAGTTCTGGAAGCTACTGGCAAGGTCCTTCAGAAAGGAAGACTTGGCTGAGCAGAATCAAGGACAACTTCATGGGAACTTGGATGCTGTATTTTGGGGCGTTAAGGGTATATACACAATGGATTGTTTCAGTTCACCGGGGGTTAGGGTTTTGGATTGATGAGAGGGTGGAGGGCCTGTTTCTGTCTGTGGCGAGGGCAGTTGGTTAAGGTGAGGCCAAGAAGTGTCCTTCCCCTGAAGTGAAGTGTGGAAACCTGTTCCAAAACTCTTGAGTACTGCTGATCTGAAGAAAATCCACCATTTCAATACTAAGGTACTTCAGTATCAGAATGTATCTGTATCAGATACGCAACAGGGGAAAAATGTTATTCATCTGTTATGTTGTTCTCAGTGAATATTAATTGTTTATACAAGTAACAATATCACTGAATAAAAAAATACCTCAGTAAAAACACTGTTTTTGCTTTATGCAGAATCCGAAACATTGGCATTATGGCCCACATTGATGCAGGCAAAACTACGACAACGGAGAGAATGCTCTATTATTCTGGATACATAAGAACACTTGGAGGTTAGAAATACTTTTTTTTATTTCAGTAGGTTTGAGAGATTTAATAGTATACAATAACATGAAATGTGGTTGGAGGTTTCTGGTGGAATACTTAGCATAGAAGCCAGTTGTTCCAAAGGTGTTCTGCAATACAGTGAAATTTTAATGCACATTCCATTACGTTCTAAGGCAGCTGTACTTTGAGAAATCATAGGTTTGTATTTTTCTTTTACTTTTAGTGTATTGATTTGTTTAATATTTAATTAATCCTTGTTTTACTTGTTGCTCATTGGCTGTTGTGGTAAAGCTGTTTTTTCAGTTTTCTTTTGACCTGTAAAGAAACGGGATTAATAAAAAGTAACCATTTCTTTTGAAATCCATAGCACAGGAAGAATTCCTTGCTTCAGCAACTCTCGTGGAATTCTTCCAAGATTGAAAGGGTCACAGCAGCCTCCATTTGTGCTGCCTTTTAACCTTTTAAATTTAATTCCCTGTTCTCTACTGTGTATGAGAATGGATTGGTTGAACTTGGTGGCCTGTTTGTTTAAAAATATGGAACTGCTTCTCTTTTTATTAAAAATTAAAAAAAAAAAACAACCCACAAGCAAAAACCCAACCTCTTACTTGTTTGGTTGTTTGGTTTTTTTTAAAAACTTACTTAATTATCTTTTAATCACTAAATTTTAAAATGTCAGTCACATTCCATACAATGAGTGCAGCCAGGTTTTTTAAAACTGTAGCTTGTTTGATATTTTGGACTTTGCTTTAGTTTTTAAGTTTCTCATGGTGTTACTAGGATTAAGAACAACAAAAAGGTTGTTGGAATTGCATGTCTTTGACTTACAGAGCATTTGTTCCATGGAAAGGGAGATTGGGTAAATTAGCTGACATTACCATTTTTTGAAAAAGGCTAGTTTTCATAGTTTATACGTATATAAAAGGAACAGTATTTCCAAATCTCTCTTAGCATCTGTATTCCAAGACAATTTCAGCTTTTGAATTATTTACCTACCCAGCTGTAGTCCTGCTCTCTGTTCACAGATGTTGATGATGGGGACACAGTGACAGATTTTATGGTACAGGAGCGAGAACGTGGTATTACCATTCAGTCTGCTGCTGTTACGTTTGACTGGAAGGACTACAGAATCAATCTGATTGACACCCCAGGTACTACGCTTTAGCAGCACTCACATTATTAGGGGAGAGTACATGAGGTGGGGTGTTGTAGAACGTAAGTCTTGGTTTTAAATATGGTGCAGTATTTAATTGGTTTAATTGTGGCAGTAAAAAGGCCTATACTGAGCTCTGTTCAGCTTTGGCTAATTATTGTTTGCCAGTGCCTAATCTAGCTTGTTTAAACTGAGCTCAGACATTTCCACAGTAAACTGCTCTCAGTTCTGGGATTGCAGTGTAACAGTCTTTTGTATTTCAAGGACTGATGGGTGTATTTCTCTGCAAGTGAAG